ACGTTGGATCGAAGCGGAGCGGAGCAGACGTTGGACTGAAGCGGAGCGGAGCAGAAGAATCTGTCAAAATTAAGAAGTTACGTGGGTTGAGGTGCCGGGGCAAAGCCCCTCGGTATGGTACAAGGGGTAATGTTGTAATTGCATATTGTGTCTAGGGTTTATTTCTGGGGTTATAAATAGACATGTTAGTAATCTCAGGAGGGATTCCTCTATTCTGTAATATCTTTTCTGAATATTAGAAGGAAACTCGCCGCTCTGCTCCCGAGGACGTAGGCATCTTTGCCGAACCTCGTTAAATCTCTGCGTTCTTCTGGATTTGTGTAGTTCTAGTTTTTCTTCACCCTAATTTTTCTCAACATAAATCCATAAGAATTGAGCAGTGTGTATGTAAATCTTCCATTTTTTTTTTTGAAGGAAGATTTACATACATACCATTCCATTCATATATATTTATATGTCTATCATCTAAATTTTAACTTTTACATGTATGTCAACGTATCTAAGTATGTCAACGTATATAAGTTTGATAAAATGTATTTAATTTTTTTTTTTTAAACTAGAATAGTGATATTATTTATGTGATTCCGGAGATATAGGGGTATAAGTGAAGTTAGGAAAATCGTTTGTTATCTGAAAATCGTTTGTTATCAATTTGTCATTACATCAATTTGTCATTACATCTATGCTAGTGATATTATCTATGGGGTTTTTCCTTTTCATTTGCCCGTACCGATCCCCTTGGAAGCATAAAATTTGTAAAATAGAACCAAAAATCTCGTTGGAATTTAAGTGAACTCAATTAATTTATAGTAACAAATTTTCTTTTCTAATTTTGGGTAATTTTATAGCTATTTTGAAATTCTTATTTCTACTTCTTTATATCCTCAAATAAATGGTTTTCCACAAATAAATGGTTTTAATTGTATATATTCCAGAAAAAAAATTATACATTTGAATGAAAAATTTGCAAAAAAATTGGAAAATTATAAAAAAGATTACTGGGCCTTAATTACTCTTAATGTTATTTACACCCTTTTTGATATGTTGGAAAAATCATAAATCGATTTTGAAAGTTTCAATTAGTAAACTAATTACTTAACAGTAAAACACACGTTCGAACAACGGTCTGGATGCGGTCACATCGCAGTAGCTCGCACGGCGGTCCATCCGGACGTCAGCTGCCGCACATAATAATTTCTCGCTCAAAAGACATAGCTACAATTAAGATGATGAGGTTGTAGCTGAATTTTAAGAATAAAAATTAAGATGCGGCTAAAATCACAATTTGTTTTCATAAAAAGATCAAAATACATAGTTTTATACAAAAATCTCAATACATTAGAGAAAGATTCATATACATGATGCATATACGGTACGTTTCTTACCAGAATGAAGAACATTAGTGGATACATGCATGATATTTTATTTAATGGGGTTGTTTACATACATAAGGCCCAATTCTTATGTATTTATATATCCAACATCTAAACATTGCTTCTTATATTTATAACACTGAGACCTTTCATAACACATCAAAAATGTCATTATTTGAACTTTCAAAACATGAAATACACCTTTTATGTATATATAAGACGTCGTATCTGTAAAAATCAAACTTTATGTGTTAGATATATAAATATACAAGAATTGAATGATACGTATGTAAATCTTCCTTAAAATAAGCAAAGCAATACATCAATCTTCTGGAAAAAAATATGTATATGTCAATTCAAGTAAATGTGTTGGGCAAACAGACATAAAAAGAGTCATATATTAATATTTTGTTTGATGGTGTTTCAAACAAACTCAACAAAACAGTTATATACTCTTAACTAAGTGAGAGAAAATGCTGTATGACTCAAATAAGCATCAGCCAACATCTGACCAAGCCTTACTTGAGCTTGGGTTGTGAGGTGCACATAATCAGGTCCAATTGGCAAGCCTTTTGCATCAACACATAAGACATTGTGAAGTCTGATCCCCTTTTGTGCTTTTCTCACCATATCTATATATTTCCCTTGTCCTGTTGCAAGCGCCACCTGCACATACTCTCATTCAGAAAAAAAAAAAGGAAGATTTACAAAAATACCAATCAATTCTTATGCACTATTATTAGAAATGATGATACATTTTTGAAACCACATTAGATGAAATAGTTTTCATTATGAAAATAAGAGAATTAAGGTGTGGAAGGCATCATGAACGGATGATTCATGGCCTGCTCAGTTGTTCTCTTTATGTAACAGGAAATTAACTAAGAAGAAGCTAGTTATAGAAGACTTCAAAAGTTATGGAGAATAGAAGATGTTTAGTCTTGGTAGCAAAGGTGGGTGGCAAACATAGCCTCTATTGGCGATAACAATCCTTAGTGTAATATTAATTATGAGATTTTAAATTTTTTGGGGGCGGCGTTTATATACATAGCACACAATTCTTACGTATTTACATATATTGAACCTAAACATTTACATTTACACACATAATTCAACTCATATTTTGAATATCATATAAAAACATATCACTATTGCTATTTTGTAAAAGTGAAACACACATGTTCATGTATATGATTAAGACGCACCAAGTGTTTTATATACATTGAAATATAAAAATTTAAGCGGGAGATACGTCTATACATAAAGAATTGTGTGCTATGTATGTAGATTTCCTAAAACTGATGTGATATATCAGAAAATTGTATGTATTTTATGTACATACTTATCTTATTTCATAAATAACAATCAATTTTTTATCACATCAAATATTTCATTATTACTATTTTTTAGAAGTAAAATGTATATTTTCATGTATAAGTTTTAGAGAAATTTACACTCATTCCATACAATTCTTATGCATTTACATATCTAACATCAAAAGTTTGGTATTTACACTAATAACATCTTGGTATCCTAAACATAAGCATGAAACCATATATTGCACTTTTTAAAAGGTAATAAAGATGATATTTTTAACGAAAATTTACATACCTAACATCCAATTCTCATGCATTTACTTATCTCACACCCAAACTCTCATTTTTACAAATGAGCACCCTACCTATGGATAAAAATGTGGACTTTACTGTTGGACAGGGGTGAAAAGGGTAAGTTGAGTGTTTGATTTGAAAAAAAACGAGAGTTTGGGTGTCAGATATGTAAATGCATAAGAATTGGTTGCTGTGTATGTAAATTCCCTTATTTTTCAGTGGAATGCAGAGAAAAATGAATGCTTAGGTGTTAGATACATGAAATCATAAAAATTGTGTGGTATGCATCCAAAAAATGCTCCATTTCATATTGCTCAACTCAAGCCTCAAAGATATTATAAATCTAAACAACAAAATTTAGGTATTAGATCTGTAAATACACACATATTATGTGCTAACCACCCCAATTTTATTTCATCTGCAAAAATTCTCTAGTCTCTTCTGCCTGCAATCGGACGGCTAAAAAATCACATACCTGAATAAACAGCAAATCCGGATCACCCAAATCCTCCCTCAGATCCGAAACCAGAGCCTCCATCCTTCCCCCATAAACTTCCGCATCCGCCATAGAAATCGTATCAGTCTCCCCCTGATACCACAGCACCGCCGCCACTCTCCCTCCTCCCGCCGCCGCAAACTGCGCACGCCGCACCAAGTTAGCATACAACGTCGTCCCGCGTTCCCATTCGCGGATCGGCGTCGCTCCGACGGCGCACGGCACGAGGCGAACTGGCGCCGCCGTACCTTCGGCGGCCAACAGGGCGTGGGCGAATGGCATTCCGGGGCCGACGCCGCACGTTGCATAGACGTCGATGTCGGCGTGGATGGGCTCGACGGCTTGCTCCCACTGGAGATGGGAGCTGAGGCGGAGGATGTCGGGGGTTGGCCGGCATTCCGGGGGGATGAAGTTGTCCCAACGGTTTTCGATGACGCCGCCGCGACCGGACATGTTGCTCTGGCCGGCGAGGAGAAAGATGGAATTTTTATGGGCTGTGGTGGAGGTGGAGAGGAGGAGGAGGAGGAGGAGTGTGGGAAGTGGAAGCATGTCGTCGAGGTTAGAGAGAATGGGACGATTGAGGAATTTGGGAATAGATTTACTGGTTTTTTGTCTTTGCTTCCGGGATTGCGGTGCGTGATGTATGTATGCTAGTTGCTTGAAAAGAATGAAATTTAATTATGATGAATAGATGAAAGGGAAGGAATTAAGCTTCGGGATACAGAAGACAAGAGGAAGATACAGGAAGTCAATTTTGCCAGCCTTTACATTCACATTATTTTATTGGTTGCCAGGGCTGTACTGTGTGATGAGCCCGACTTGAGCCGACTACGTCGGTGCTTGGATTTAGATTGGTTTAGACGGATTTAGATTGGTTAGATGGATTTAGATTCGCCCTGATAAGGCTCCAATAAATTTTCATAATTTAGTACGGATCTCGAGACTATTTTTTTAAATAAAAGATATTCAAATTTTTATAAAAGTGATACAAGGCTTCAATTTAGCAAAATTATAGTAAAACTGACCGGCTCAATAATAAGGACCCAAAGATATAAAAATTAGTTCAATCTAGATCAAATCGAGCACATATGAAGTTATTAAATCACTCTTGAAAGTTTTCAGGACATATTTAGAAGGTCAAACTAATGTCAAATATGGCTATCTATAGTCAAATCGAGCGTCTCGACAAGTCGAATCCAACGAGCGCATAATCAAATCGAGTGTCTCAACAAGTCGAATCTAGCGTTAGACATTTTTAAGGCACTTAAATGTCCATTAACACTATCTGATCGAAGGAAGCTCTCCGGACCGTTCGATCAAAGTGGATCATATTCTTTGCATTAATTGCACCCAAAACACTATAGATAGAACCACACCCCTCTCATGAGGGGAATGAGAGTTTGAGATATGACAAAGAGTTTAAAGCTTTGAGAAGGAGCTGAAGTCCAACACCAACATAATAAACCGCCGTCGGCCACTATTAACCTCCGTTGACCACCGTAAACCGTCGTTGGCTTTCGCCAATCGCTATCTACCACTATTTATCGTCATCGACCGCCGTTGACCTCCGTCGACCACCATCGATCGTAGTCAATCACCACCAACGCCTCTGACCATCACCGACCGCAGTCGATTACCGTCAATCACCACCGACAGGACGACGTCAATCATTATCTGTCACAACACATTCATAGCAACAAATTCATCAGCATGTCAATGTTGTAATTTGGAAAATTTAGTAACTATTTCTCGTCTGTAGGACAAGTGGTTGCAAGTGTAATTATCTTTTTATAGTGAAACTCTTAAGTAGGGTCATATCCCGTGGTTTTTTCCTTTTCGAGTTTTCCATGTAAAAACTTTCAGTGTAATTATTAATTGCTTTCCTTTTTTTTAGTGTGTGTTGAATGTTCGCACCACGTTCATACAATTATCTGCTACTCTACTGCTGTAAATTTTTAAACACGCATCAAGCTCTACTATAATTTTTTTTGTTTGGCTTGTATGATCATATTGAGCTTTTTGTTTTTTTAATAATTTTATTTAGCTTTTAGTATGTTAATTCAATGAGTATTTCATAAATTAATAAACAAATTAAAAATTGAGATGATTAGGTGAGTTTTTTTATAAAATTTGTTAGGTGCTAGAAAATTTATAGTTGTAGATTGATAATTTAATAACTTAATATTTTATGAAGATTCAACACATATACATACAAAAAAAAAAGTAAAATGAAAAATTGAGATTTTTTTTGTGGAAAATCTTGGAAGGGAAAAAACAACAGAGTCTAGTCTAGTTAAAGTAATACACTATGTGTTTGTAAGTACAATAGTACACTATTTTCTAATAATAGGCAGAAATGAGATTACACTTTTACAACGAAAATTACAAACGTCTTTTACAACACAAAAATATAAATATGGATGTAACAAACATGTTTTGATTACAATAGATGCAAACAGTGTTTGTCGGCGGCAACTAGTGGTAGTCGATAGTGGTCGATGGGCAGTGGTCAACGGTGGTTGATAGCTACGGAGGTTGGTGGTTATTCATTGGGCTTCTCTCCAGCATAAGCTCTAGAATTTAACTTCTCCTCTTCTCCTCCTCTCTCAAGTGAAGAGAGAGGGCCTATTTATAGCCTTTTAATAAGGAGCATTTTGTTTTTTTTGCAAGTAAATTTTATAACACTCTGATCGGACGGTCCATATTGATATCCTTTGATCAAAGATAACTATTTAACGATTTTTTATCGTTGGATTCTCTCTTGTCGAAATGCTTGATTTAATTATAAATATGTTAAATTTGAAGTTCATTTGACCATTCAATTAATAATCCAAAATCTTTTATTGTACTTCAATGACTTGATTTGGGCTTCATTGAACTTGGATTGAACAAGTTTTGAGATCATTGGGTTTGTCTTATAGAGAATATTAGTTTAACTATAAAATTGCTGAAATCCGGGGCACGTGTGATCTTGAATTTGAAACGTTTTTATCAAAAATGCATCGAGTTTCATGTTTGATAAAATTTTTTATGACACGAAAAAAATTAGCCTTGATATTATAAAAAGAAGTAAACAAACAATTATATAAAGGGAGATTTACATACATAACACATAAAACTATTAGTATTGCCTATCTCACATCCAAACTTAAATATTTGCATTTTAAGCACCCATAGTCACCGTGTTAGACGTTTTCACCGCCAAAAGGGGAATCGTCCGAACCGCCGAAGCCGAAGCTGCGATTCCTCTGTCGATCTTGCCGACGCCTTCTTGCGCCTCTGTCGATCTCGCCGACGACTTTTTGCGCCGACTCCTCCGAAGCTTCGCCAAACTCCTATTGTCTGCGCACGCCTGGTGTTGCACTTGAAGCCTTCGCGGAAAAGCCCTCGTCTTCCTGTTGAACCGTCCGAAGCCCTCTTCGTCTTCGAACTTCCTCTGCGCTGAAATTCGAACTGTCGCGAACCTTGCCAAAATCCTTCACTAGTCGCCAATCTCCTCTACCAAAATCTTCTTTATTCTTGCGCCACCCAAATTTTCTTCCATGCCCTCGAACCTCGCTCTGTTACCACTTGTTGAGAAATTAGGGAGCAGAAAAACAAGAATCAACACAAATCCAGAAGAACACACGGATATTTAACGAGGTTCGACAAAGATGCCTACGTCCTCGGGAGCAGAACGACGATTCCTTTCAATATTCAAAAAAGGATTACAGAATTCAGAGACCCAGAGACTCACCTAGGATTACAAATATGACATACGTATAACCCTACAGTACAATATGTAATTACTTAAATTACCCCTGTAGCAAACTGCTGGGTGTTGCTCCCGCACCCCCAACCCACATAATGAAACTCCCCCGATTGGACAGATCATTCCGCTCCACTCTGCTCGTGGGCTCCGCTCCGCTCCACTCTGCTCGTGGGCTCCGCTCCGCTCCAGCATCTGTCCAATTTATGGTATATGAATCATACCTAACACTTCTATTTTGTCTCTTAAACCTCTAACATGTGTGCTCCTCATTGCACATCACGAGTTTCCCATTATCACAATAGATTGTTGGGTAAGTCAAATGTGAAAACCAAATTCTCGAGCAGAGATTGAATCACCACAATATTCATCATATGTGAAAAATTGAAAATGAATCACTGCTTTCACAAGCTCTACAATCTCACATTAAACCTGAAAATTATTATTACATATAAGAATGTGTAACAAAATAAATATTTGGAAAGAGAATCCATAAGCTAAGAGTCTCAATTAACATTTGAGGGAAAGGCATAGTGAGACATCAATAATGAAGCGTTACTCCGCAGCATAATTAAAACAGATGGGGGGTAGCACATGCAAATTACTCTATATGTGACATTGATGTTGATAATTTTCGTCAATTAGCATCTTTTGCATTGGCAATGATGCCTTCACTGTATGTATTTACGTATCTAATAGCTAAACTTTCATTCTTTGACATATAAGTTACTGAATCATGACATAACAAGCTGTATTTTAATTTTCAGAAGTTAAAACAATGATATTTTTATGTGATATGAAAGGTTAAGGTGGTATGAATGTAAAAAAAAAGTTTACGTATCAGATATGGAAATTCATAAGAATTTAATTAAGATACTATGTAAATGCCCCACATTTATATACATACCACACAATTCTTAGTTATGTAAACACCTAAAACAAAAAAATCGACATTTATAACACTTTGTTATCATTTATCTATACATACATACATATATACATACATATTTGTATATATTGAAAACAAAATTGATATTTAACAGAAGCCCAAATATCGATTTCTCATGCGTTTTTTTGGCCCCATGATGAGAGCCCGTGCTATGTGTCTAAAATTTCAGAGCCTCCGCACCACGGTAGGATCAAATCTTTGATCTGAGGGGACTTACAGTGACGTAGCCACCAACGGACAAAAACTTATGGCGCACGCGCACACACACATATATATTATATTTTTTTTCATTTTTAAATAATAATAATGTTATTTTTATTTGATGTTAAAATTTTGAGTGTTATGCATGATTTTTAATTCCGCCTTTTTTTTTTTCCACAGGGTAATTCCAGCCAAGCACAAATTCAAAACAAGCCAATAAAACACACAAAATTACAAAATAAATTGTGAATTTTACAACATTAAATGTCCTCTTCTTCTTATTCATTGACAAAAACTATAGATCACGAACAAAGCGAGAAGAAACTGCCGTGTGATTTAAATAAGCATCAGCCAACATTTGACCAAGTGTTACTTGAGCTCCGGTGGTAAGGTGCAGGTTATCAGGCTCAAGCTGCAGGCCATCTGCATCAACACACAACACATTCCGAACTTTCATTCCCTTCTGTGCTTTTCTTACTATGTCGACGTATTTCCCTTCGCCTGATGCAAGCGCAACCTACACAAGCCGCACAGCCGCAAAATCCAGTATAATTGTGTGTCAAATAAAATAAAATTTAAGGTAAATTGGTAAAATAGAAATTTAAATGTTTGGGTGATGTGCAAGTTTAAATTATATTATATGTGATTTTTAAATTTACAGATAATGTTTAAAGAGTTAAGTATCAGAATAGTCATTGATTGTTTATATAGGGTCGTTTAATATTAGAGTATATCAAAATGTTAAATTAGCCATCAAATTTTTTAATGGAAGCTAACATAATTCTCCTACAGAAAAAAAACTCATATTGTATAGATTTTGAGATTAAAGCCATTCAAAAGTTATTTCAAATGATTCCTTAAACTTTTGTTACTTGTCAGTAGCGAGCTTTAAAATTCAGAGCGGTCATGGGACAGACAGCCTGACAAGCCATCTTTAGCTTCACGACGGCCAATATCAACCATAACTTTCTGCAAGGCCAGCGCAACTTACGAGCAGTTTTATTATTATTATTTTTTATATTAGTAGAAGAAGAAATTAATTTTAAATATTGGATTATATTATATATATCTATGTAAATAAAAAAGCTTGATTTGACTTTATATAGTTTTTTTTTTTTAATTTGAGCTCATAAAAAATAAAGGTGGCTAGTGAAAAATATTTAATTTTAAGCAAATTAAATTTGGGGCATGTTTGGGCAGCTTATTTTAAAGGTGGTGAATGAAAATATTTAACTTCAAGCAAGTTAAATTTGTGGAGACTCTCGATTCGATCATAAATTTATCAGAGTTGACATACATTTGGCTTCCCAAATATGCTTTGAAAGCTTCTAAAATTAATTTAATGGTTTACTCTGAGCTTGATTTGATTTGATTAGATTCATTTATATATCATCGGGTCCGTCTCATCGAGCTGACCAGCTTGTCTATAAATTTACTGAAATCAGAGTTATAGATGATTTCTTAATTGAAGTTTGAATGTTTTTTGCTCAAAGATTGTCTTGAGATCCATATCATACCTCGGGATTTATGTCAAATGATGCATATTTGTTGAAGTAATGTCAAATCCAAAAATTTGGCTTGCATTTAAATCAATTTTCGAGTGATAACGATCTACGAGCTAAATTCACAAAATACACAATCCTAACAATTTTAGGATTGTTAAAAATATGATTTTGAGCTTAGTGGGGGTAAGCTTCAAAAAAAAAATTGATCTAAAATTTTTTTGCCCGTAACTTAGTTCGTTTATTTCCATCCTATCTCAATCTGAACCAAACTTCGAATCAATTTTTGAGAGATTAACAATCTTCAAGCTAAATTCACAACCCTATTTTACATATCTAACACATATACTTCAATTTTTTCGTATTTATGAGACCTACTGATGTGTGTAAAAATGTATTTTGTTACCTGGATCCCAATCCCGCCTCCCTGATCCCACTCTTGCCTCCCTGTTCCCGATCACGAAAGGCCGCGACTACAACCTTACAGTTTCGTGGATTGATCCCGCGTATGATTCGCGAAACGACGCCCTCTGCTTCTTTAAGTTACGAACAAGACCCTCCTCTGAACCATCTTTTGCGATCAATTGCTACAGGCGAGAGATTCGAGAGGGCTTTGGCGTGCTTTGCAGAAGAGGAAAAAGTGATAGCACAACCTTTTTGTGTTCTTGTACGGGCTTTCTCGGGATAGAGGAAGAGAAGTGCAAGGAGTGGTTCAAGAAGGAAGAAGCAAAAGATTATTCTCCCTTGGCTTCTTCTTAGTGGCTCGTGGCAGAAGAGAAATTGAATTTATTTTTCTTGTAAGTTTATCTTCTTTGTGTGTAGAGAGAAGAAGAGAGAGCAAGGAAGTGAGAGAGAGAAGAAGTGAGAGCAAGGAAGTGAGAGATCTTTCATGTAAGTCGAGACGATCGACTTGTGTAAACTCCTCAAGTAGTAAAATCCTCTGTAACTCCGTAAATATAGGGAATTTCTCGAACCACATAAATTTGTGCGTTCCACCGTGTTACTGTTTTTTTTGTGTGAATTTTCTTGTTCTATATTTTTGCTTCTTCATCAAAGATTATATATAACTGGTATCAGAGCCGTATTTCGAATCCGAGAAAGACGATGACTGCAGATGAATTGAAGGTTTCAGGGATCAAGAAATTTGATTGCACAAATTTTGGTTACTGGAGGATACAGATAGAGGACTATAAAGAAACTTTATCTTCCATTATTGAGGAAAATACCTGAAATGACGGATGAGTTTGAATGAAATTTGTTAGATCGACAAGTTCTGGGTTATTCGATTGACCCTATCGAGGTACATTACACACAACGTCGTCAAAGAGAGGACGACTGCAGATCTCAGGGGACGACTGCAGATCTCATGACAGTCTTATCAGATATGTAGTAAAAGTCATCGACGAATAACAATGTGTATCTAATAAAGAAGTTATTTAATTTGAAGATGGCAGAAGATGTTTCTGTTGCTCAACACCTGAATGATTTCAATGCTATCACAAATCAATTGTCGTCTGTTGAAATTGATTTTAATGATGAGATACGCGCGCTGATATTGTTGACATTGTTGCCAAATAATTGGGAAGCTATGAGTATAACATTTAGTAGTTCTGCAAGTAAATTTAAACTAAAATATAATGATATTCGTGCTTTGATTTTGACTGAGGAGGTGCGCAGGAAAGATTCTGACGAGATCTCATGTTCGAGTTCGGCACTGAATGTTGATTTCAGAGGGAGATCACAGAACATGAACTCAAATAGAGGAGATCAAAATCAAAGTTTTGTTAGCAAACAACCTGCTGGAATTCTGACTAGGCTGGCCACATAAAGAGGAATTGCAAAAATCCTAAGAAGATGGAGAATGATAACACAAATGTGGTATCTGAAGAAGTACATGATGTACTATTGCTATCAGTTTATAATTTTTTTTTATGATGGAAGTGAAAAAAGAGAGTGGATCCGAGACACACATTCCCATTGCTCCACAGACAAATGGTGGGGAACCACAAAACTATGAAAAAATCTTGCAAGATGAAAATTAGAGCAAGTAAGAGCTGACGGAACTTCCACCAGGGAAGAAGACATTACACAACAAGTGAGTGTACCAGGTGAAGACTGAGCTTGATGGCGGTAAGAGGTACAGGACTAGACATGTTGAAAAAGACTTTCAGCAGAGGCCAAATATTACCCATGCACTGAGAATTGTAAGCAGAGACAAGAGTAACCTAGGAAATAACTTGGAGGTGCAAGATTATGTAAACTCTGTTAATATGTTGACTAAGGGTATTACTCTTGAGAAACTGAAGTTGTGTATAGTTTCAGTCGGTCTTCTGGTGTGAAGACAAGAGCTTTGAGTTGCAAAGTTGGATGATTCATATTTGAAAAAAATGGCTATGCCGCCAATAGAAGATTCCT